GATCCTGGTTAAAAACACCTGTCTTCCCAAGGCTACCTCTTGCTGTTAGCCTTGATTCTCTTCTCTTAACATGAATTTCTTCCCCTATGTCTCCCTAGACCTTTTCGCAAATGAACCCCTTCTGTGAAAATTCTGCCCCATCAGCCTTTCAACATATGTAGATATGCCTAAATTTTGCATTGGCCACACAAATGAGACTCTCCTGCCATCTTTTACTGCAAAATAAGGGTCATTAAGCTCTGACAATGATATCATGGAAGTCAATAAGCTTCCCCTGACAAATTTTTGTTGTTCAATATAGAATGACATATTTTGTTTTATGCATTTATTTTGCCTTGTTTTCAAAAGATTTTGTTCCTTTCTTTGCTTCACTACATTTTTGAGAACAAAACTGGGTTAACTATATCTAATCCCCAAACATATATTTCTCTTTTGAATTATCCTACAACTTAAAATTGGGTTCCAGAGTAAAATGGGAGAATGAATTCTATATTTGCTGAAACTAATTCTTAAATTATTAAGGTTTCCAAAAAAATCTATTTCAGAGATAAGCAGGAACTCTCAGGGCAGGAGGTTCTATAAAATTTTTAAATGAGTGGGAAAAAAAGAAGTCTTCATTAATCAATGTGTTTAACTATCTGGTTTGTGTATGGATATTAATATGGCAACAAGCCAGGTTATAATCAAGGCTGAAACACTACCCCCTTTTATTGTGGAAATAGAGGAAATTAGTTAATGCTCTAGGACATACTACAATGCTTATATTTGCAGTAAGTTTTGGTGAGATTCGCTGGACTACTTTGGTTTGGTTGCTGTCAACAAATGCACAGCAAAGTCACCTTTGATAAATACTTTGAGTTTGCTGTGCTACTATTGCATTCACAGGCATTCACATGAGGACAAGGAGGGAAGATTACACTCTGGGTAAAAATATTGGTACTGGTGACCCCTTTGGGCAAAGCTCAAGTCACCTTGAGACTCACTGCATCTAATATAGGCCCGGACATGTATAACTTAATGAAACAATCTAGGACTTGCTGTGCCAAATTTTTCACTGTTTCCATAGTCTTCTCTTTCACACTTTTAAGCTGCTGAACAGGATGTTCCTTGTGCCTGGAATGACCTTTGCCTTCCTCTTTACATAGTGAATTCCAAGTTGTCCTCTAATGTCCAGATTGCTCCCTCTTCTGTGAAGACTTCAAATTGAGATTTACCTTCTTCTCAACTTTTGGCTCCAGCTTCTTTGTACCTCTCTGAAATTTAATATTTATTACATTATGATGTAATGATTTGTTTTTCAGTCAAATTACCAGAATGAAAGCTCAAAGACAGCAGAGATATGGTTCATCTTGTTCATTGCTATATCCTCAGGACCTAGAAAAATGCCTAGCACAAAAGAACTGGATGAATTTATTATTATTTTTTTTGGTGAGCAAGATTGGCCCTGAGCTAACATCTATTGCCAACCCTCCTCTTTTTGCTTGAGGAAGATTGTCTCTGAGCTAACATCTGTGCCAGTATCCCTCTATTTTGTATGTGGGATGCTGCCACAGCATGGCTTGATGAGTGGTGTAGGTCCACACCTGGGATCCAAACCCGAGAATCAAGGCCACTGAAGCAGAGCATGCCGAACTTAACCACTACACCACTGGGCCGGCCCCCAGGGTAAATATTTTTTGAATGATCCATTTATTAGTGTGTATAGACAGGTGGGCACAGTTGGAGGGAAGGAAACAAGATGAATCAAATGTGGTTGTTATTTTCCATCTGATCCAGTTAAGTTATGAGGACAAACATAGGAACATATTACTTTAAGCATTAGTATTGCAAGGAAGAAATAGACATTGAATTAGATAGAATACTTACATAAATTTATATTTGCTAATTAGCTTTCATAGGCTAAGTGTGAAACGGTGACATAGACAGTGAACTATAAGTATATATTTGAGAAGAAATAAGTATAGTGAACTGAGATTATCCAGATTTATCAAAAGAGGCAAGGTCTTGAGAAGGATTTAAGAAGCAGAAAAGAAAAGATTTAGGGAAAATGGAATGAAGGAATAGTGATGGAGAAAGACATATTTTGTGAAGAAAACGAGCAGACCCTTTATGAATGGAAATTCTGGACAATAAGGTTGAGAAGATGAGCCAGACCAAGACTCAGAGCTCAGCCACCAGTTGTGTGACATTGAGAAAAAAAACATTTAACCTCCAGGAGTTCTAGTTTCCTTATTCGCACATTGGTAAAAATACCCAGGTTTTCTGTTTTACAATGTTGTGGGGATCAAATGAGTTAAGATGATTCTGAAATAAGCAGGGAGACATAAGCATCAAGAAATAGTAGGACACAAATTGGGATATACATTATGGTTTAAATAATACACGAAAAAATGCTGGAGGGAAATAACATTCAAATTAACTGCACTTGCATCAGAATGCTATGATTATGAGTGATCTTTTTCCCCCTAATTTTCTGTATGTACCAAATCATTATTGAAAAACATATATTAATTGAAAATTCATTTCATTCAACAAGTATTATCCTAGGGGCTGAGAAAATAAGAATGAATAAAAGAAACAAGGTCTGAGCTCTCAAGGAGCTTTGATTTTAGTAGACAGAGACAGACACCAAACCATGCAGATACATAAGATAATTTCAGATAATAAGTGCTGTGATAGTGGTGTAGTGATGGAATGGTGTGGGCTGCTAGATAGGGGAGTCAGGGGAGGTCTCCATGAGGAGAGCTGAGACCCATTTGAGCAAAGACCTAAATGATGAGTAGGTGCCAAGACATAAATGTCGAGTTGGGAAGAATGTTGTAGGCAGTGGGTCGAGCAGCTGCAAAGGCCATAAGCAGAATGAGTTGCATGTGTTCAAAGGACAGAAGGAAAGCCACTGTGGCTGGACCACAGTAAGCAAGGAGGGAGGTGGAAAGTAAAGTCACCAGATACACAAATGCCAGATCATGGAGGATCTTTGAAACTATGGTAAGGAAATCGGATTTTGTTCTCAGTGTAATGGCAAGACATTGGGGTATTTTAAGCAGAGAGATGAAATGATCTGATTTACATTTTTTGACAATATTTTCTATATGTGTGTATATACATGTACATATCTGTATATATACATATAAGTGTATATTTACACATATATACGCACATATATAATAAAATTTAACTGTTAGATGATAAAATGAGCTCCAGTTTCCTTATTTCTGAATTGGTAATATATACAAAATAAAATTTAACTGCTAGATGATAAAATGAACTCCATCATGATTTCATGTCATTACATGATCTGCTGAGGTCTAACTAATAGGGTAAAAAATGATGTCATTATATATAGAGTCATATGAGGTCTTTCCAGCATTAGCTATTTTAAAAGTGGGAGCAGTTTGGCATCAACTCCCCAGGCTTTTACTAGTATGTTAGATAATTGGTAACATATTTAAATAGCATTTATTGAGCTCTGCACAATGGGGTGAAGTTTAACTGTTGATTGGAAGCACCAGTATTCTGAATGTCCTGGTTCTCAGGTTAATTTGCTGTTATTTCCTTTTGCATTTTATTTCCTCAAAAATAAAAAGGAGCGGTGATGCATATGAAAAATAGACATTAAGGAGAAAATTGCAAATGTAGCTTTTGCTACAGAGAATTTCAAAATTATTATTGTCCTTCTCTTCCTGGCAGCACATATTTCTAAGAAATAATAAGCTGAGCTCTCTCGAGTGAACAAATCCGCAGCACAATGATTTTGGCACATAGAGAGGCGTGTTAACTACTTGAAGTCCCCCAAGCTTCTTCATTGGCTTCATTATTCCTTTGGAGCTCTCTGCAGAATCTGCTCCCAGAAGTACGCAGGCACAATGGAATAGCAAGCCCTTTTCTTCCATCCTTTCAGTGCCCGAAACAATAGACTTATGAAATACTGTGCACTTTCACTGCTGCCCAGAAAGTGGGATATCCTTTGTGCAAACACATATTAATGGAACTTTGATGTCGGTTTTTAAAAGTCCACTCTGCCTTCTGTGTCTGCAAAAATAAATACTGATCTTAAACAGCGTGAAGCATATTCCCATCTCCACAGAGAGCGTTAATATCCACACAGCCTTCTTTCTCTAGAATGAAGGATGGCCAGCATTAATGCTATCAGTGTCGGAGAGGGAGACTTCATCAACCTAACTCTTTCCCCTCGCTCCCTTTCCAGCAGAAACAAGGCTTTTCAAAAAAGTCTGTCAGGGCTTTATCCTATCAAGGTCTTTGTTGTTTTTGAAAATAATTATCATTTCTTGAGCATTCAGAAATGATAAAAAAAAGCACTTTTGACAGTTCCTATGGGAAAAAGGATATGACATCTCCCCCTACATTTTCAACCTCAAAAATGATCCCTTCTGTAAGAAAGTGATGCAATTTTCAAGGAGCTGTGAATTTTCTACCTCCTTTGATGTAGTCAGCAGTGCTTTTTCAACAGACGTTTCATATAGAGTCCATTCAAGATCTTCAGGGGATTTAGAAGAAATAGAAGATAGCCTTCAGACCCTGCCCTTGGGTGGCTTAGAGTCTTGCTGTGTTAGAAAGGACAAATAGAACTAAAGTTACTTAAGAAGCCCTAGGGGTAATAGGTGGTTATAGAGTTCACGCTCTTGAGTGAGACAGCCATGTGCTCAAATCCTGACTTTACCCTTATCACTTCCCACCAGTGAGATACACATTTCCGGAAACCTCAGAAATCTCTGCAAAACAAATATAATAATAGCAACCATCTCCTAGGGTTGCTGTGAGGATGAAGAGGTAATAACTCATGCATATAGAGTTCTTAGCATGGTGTCAGGGCCCCAAATAAGTACTTAAAAAGCAGTAGCTATTATTTCTTGGTAAACACTAATAAAGAGAATAATTATTATGTCAAACAAGTTTTTTTAAGTGGCCTTTGAGAATTATATTACAAATTTATATTCACAAATTGTAAATATGAACTATGTTTTCATTTTTCTTCATAGGCATTTTAAATTGTTGTATGGCATACAATGTTGGTCTCCCGGAAGCAAAGATATTTTCCGGTCCTTCACGTGAACAGTTTGGCTATGCAGTGCAGCAGTTTATAAATCCAAAAGGCAACTGGTAAGAATAGTCTCTTCTTTATGATTTGAATAAAAATACTAAATAGATTTAATATTTGATTCCAATTGCTTGTTTGAATTGGTGCACGAATATATTATGAATGGGTAGCCCTCAAACATCCTTAAATGAAGGATCTTTCCTTGCGAGTTGATAACTCTCAGGTTGATAATTAATCGGATGGTGTAAACCTGGATAGAAAATTTTCTCTAAATATTCCACAGTGAATTCATAATACCAGTTTTGACCATTTAATAGACAGATAGATAGATACACACATACATAAATGCATAGAAACATACATAGATTTGTCTTCATTTCTTATTCTGTAAACTGGTACCCACTGAGCTTTGTAAATGTTCATCTAGCTAATGCTGCCTTCGGGCCATTTCTAGACGGTAGAATTTTTCCCTAAATTTTCTGCTTCAGCAAGGCTTTGTCTACTGGCTTCATTCTAAGTCAGCCTTACCTTCTCCATTTGGTAAAGAGACCTCACAAGCATCCATGCAAAATTTACAAAGGTACCTTTCTCTAGTGCATTTAGCATCTTTTATTTTTGCCCCAAAGGGCCCTCGGTTTTTTAATGCTATGTAATGGTTACTTTTATATACCACTACCTTCATGGGTATGGAAATATATACCCCCATTGCTGGTTTAAGTTTCCCATAATAATAATAAAAATCAACTCAGGGGAAATCAGATGATTCTGAAAGTCGTCTTTAGGCAAGAGCTGTAGCTCCTCTTCTGCCAGAGTTGATGCCGCTGTTGCACAGGAGTCCTGCCACTGGAACCTTATCTCCCTGTTGGAGCAGAAGGCTCCAGACTCACCCTGGAGCTTCAGATCCTAGATCCTCTAGAGCTCTTCCCAATGATTAAATGGGCTGTTGTTGGCTTATCAAATAAGAGCTATAATTTATTACCTTTTCTCTGTGTGAACTTATGTTTGAGGTTCTAAAAAATTAAGTTGAAAGAAACATTAGAATCCAAATTATTCACATTTTGGAGCATGCCTGTCTGTGTGATAGAGAAACAAAATGAAATTCTCACTTGAGAGGGCAGTGTGTCTCAGAAGGCATCTTGGAGGAGGTGAATCATGAGGTGGGTCTTAAGGAGTGGAGATGAATAGGCTGGAGAAGAATATTAACTAATGTGAGGAGACTTGGAAAGCAGTGTATGTTGCAGAGAGTTTGTCAGTCACTCGGAAAGATAAGAACAGGATAAGAACTGGTTGGAAACCCAAAGAGTAGCAAGTACTGTCATTATTTGGGATATGAGAAAGAGTGCATCGCCCACAATTATCTAATTAAGCTTTGATAACCATAAACCATGGTAAGGTCACAGTTTGACCTTGGAATCTAGCAGATAAAGTTGCTTAGGACCCACAATTCTACATATCCAGCCTTGATTCTTTCCTGAACTGTAGACACCCATATCGAACATCTCCACTTTAATGCCTAATAGACGTATCAAACTTAACTGAGACAAAACAAACATCTGAATTTCTGTACTAGCTGATGAGGCCAAAAATCCTTGACTCCTCTCTTTCTCTCACCCTCACCCCATCTCATCCATTAGCTAGTCCTGTTGACTCTACCACGAAAATACCTATGCTAATGGGCCATTTCTCATCATCTTTCTTGCTGTCCCCTGATCGAAGCCCATACTGGCCATTGCAGGTACTGCTGTGACAGGTCTCAACCCATCTCCTGCCCCCTTCTTACCCTTCTTTACTCTCCTCACTGCAGCCAGTATGAACTTTTTACAACATGATTCAAGTAATATCACTCCTTCGATTAAAACTCTCTGTGGCTTTCCACTGCAATTAGAATAAATTAAAATTGCTTAAGGGATCTTCCATGGTCTGGTCTCAGTCTGTCTCCCCTATCTCAGATTTTATCCCTTCACCCTTATTCACTATGCTCCATGAATTCTGTCTTTTGTCTGCCTCTCGAACACACCAAACTCATTCCTGTTTCAAAGCTTCTTCTGCACATGGTTTTCTCCTGGAAGGAACCATCTTTCCAAGATCTTCTATTGGCTGGGTGATTCTCTTCTTTCAGTCTCAGGTCAAATGTCTCCTCCTCATAGAGACCTTTAGGACAAGCCCATCTAAATTAGCACTTCACCACAACTCTTGGTTGCTCTAGCCGTCTATGCTGATTTATTTTCTGTATAGCAGTTATTACTATCTGAAATGATCTGTATTTGTTTATAGGTTCATTATCTGTCTTCGGCCCGTCTCTGAGTATAGGGACATCGTTTTGTTCACTGGTGTGTCCTCAGAACCCAGAGTGGTATATAGAATTGAGTAGGGGATCAATAATTATTTGTTGAATGACTGAATGAAAGTCCTTTCCAAATGATTCACCTGAGGTACTCTACAAAGTGAACTATAGTAGATTCACTTAAGTATGAGCTGAACAAGACGCACTCTGATGGTCTACTTCATAAGCATGGCCTTGCTGAGGACAATCAGGGATTAAGTTTGAGGTTATTCTTTTTAAGTAACAATCTTTCTGGGTTGGGATAAATCTAAGAGAAAGAGCCACCATTAGTAATAGAAACTATTAGAGATGATGAGCCTATCGAGGATTGTAAGGCAACTTAACCACTGGCCACACTGCAGGTTGGAAGTTGAAGAAGAGAAAAAGGGACAAAAAGTTGACAAGAACCTAGCAGGCAAAGTCCTGGGAAGGTGACAGGCAACATTACTCGTTTCTCTCTCCAGGATTCTCTCTAAGCACACAAAACATTAAGACAAGTGTATTAGCAGTTTATGGTGAGATTCTAGTACTGATAGGGTTAAGTCAAGACCAGGGACATCAGACATTTCTAAATCCTGCCTGGGCCTTCTCATGACATTCCTGAAAGATATATAAACACAGGACAATGGCTATTGGGAAACAAGGCACCACTCTATTAATGACTGGGCTAGTGCTTTTAACTCCAGTGTAGAGCTTCCTGGTAAAATGTGGTATTAGGCTTATCAAGGCCTTACTTACTTCAATTCCATATATAGCTACCAGCTGGTATGAGCATACCCTACCACACAAGAAGAAAAGAAGGGAGGGCTGGAGGGCTAACCTTACCTGGGGGGCTAACCCTGTGGAGGCATGAAGCAGGAAGGAAAGAGAACAAAAGCTGGCCTGGCATGACAGTCTGCGTCCTTTCACTGATCTGGTCTCGTAAAGCAAAGAAGCAGAAGAGGCCACGTCATGGATGTGATCTTCTAATCTACCACAGGCTGGACACTATGGGAGGTGCAGAAACTACAAAGCATAGACCTTGACTTTAAGGAGTGTGGAGTAGAATCAATGAGGAAGATATTTATGCAGAGTAGGCAGCCATGAATAATGCCAGAGACATAAGTGAACCCCTTGTAGTTAATAGTGTATGTTCTTTTAGTGTCACTAGCTATATTAACTTGCTATTAGGAGCTCATTTTCTCTTCCCTAGGCCTGGGACACTAGAGGGACCAGGTCCCCTCCTGACCTCTCTCATTAGCCTGGCCTTGCCAAGGTGCCTTGCCACAGAGGGCAGGGCTGTGCAGGGTCCAGGTGAATGGGTTTTCCCACTCCAGTGCTGGAATGGGCCACAGTTAGGACAAGCAGCCGTCACCACTCTCAGGTTCAAGGAAAATAATATGAAACTTGGAATCCAAGATTGCCTATTTGTTTTGACAGTTGGCACTGTGCCCTTCTCCACTCCTAATTTATGACAATTGCACAGACATTATGGAAGTAGCAGATGTGGGAAGGACTGTTTAAATATTAACTTTCCTTCTAATACTAATCAAGTTAACTTTGGGCACAGAAAGTGGTATTACTGTGAATGCCCTTAATAAACTGTGAGTCTCTTTCCCTTAGGCATTATATATATATATATATATAATACACACACACACACGCACGCACGCACGCACGCACATCCCTTTCTCTTTACTCCCTTACTGCTTGTTCTGAAGCTGCCTTTTGGTAATTTTTTCCTCTGCTTACTTTGACTTTCTTTACAATCTGTCTTGTTGAGCCTGACTCCATCTCTCAGCCCTTTCCTTCCTTCTGACAACTCACTTAAGGCTCTAGACTGAGTTTTCTTAAATCACACTCCACTATTTTTAAAGTACAACTTTAGCTATTCCATATGTCCTATGTTTCTAAGAATTTATAGGCATATTTTACACTGGGATCTATAAGGTTTTAACAAAATAATCTTGGTTCTTTTGCTAGTGTTATTTATTACGCTTCTATTATACTGTGGACTTTTACCCTAGAAATAGTGGTGATATGGCTGCTTTGAGAATTCTTGAATCTTTTTAACAGTCTCAGATGAGCTGGATAATTTTAAAAGCAAGATTACCTCCCACACAGAGCACCGGAGCGCCCCTCTGTCTGTAAGTAAAGTTGTGGTCTGTTCTCCCTTCAGTGTAGGCAGAGGATCATCTCGCCCCAGAGCCCTCATTTTACACACAGGATGTTCAAATGTAGATGATGCAATCCTTATCACAAACAATTATACAAAGGATTGAGATATATTTAAAATCCTTTCCTGGAAGCTCGTGGTGATATGCACTGTTTCTGTTTGTCTAATCTGAAGGCTTTTTCCAAGAACAATCTGAGCTCATTATATGACTCAAAAACCTTAGAACACTGCAATCATTTGTGTGACGAGGACTGTCTGGGAATTGGGGTATTTCCAGTGGTAGAAATGCATTTTCTTGTTCCATCAAGGACTAGAGCATGCTTGTTCCTTAAGAAAAGAGGAGAATTATAATCAACCTGTGTCATGGCCAACAAAAATTTCCATCTATATATGAGCTTATATTATAGTTTTAACTATTTAATTAAGAAAAATTGTAATAAAGCTCTATGTGTGTTATAACAGATTGTCTTACACAGATATGTCTGCAAGAGAATTTTAAATAAAAAATAAAGAAGAAACATTCCATTCTGTAACAGACATCAAAGATTATGTCAATGGCCAGCCCTGTGGCATAGTGGTTAAGT